GACATTGTGAAGCCCAAGGTGTGGGCTAGCATATGTCTTAAACAACGTTAAGAATAATTCTGTGATGATAGCACCAAGTTGTCTTCGCATAAAGTGAAGGGTCGCATTAGCCTTGGCTGCGTCCCCTATATAACTCGGGCTTGTGTGGAGGCTTTCTGTGCTTATTAAACCGAGATCGCGCTCTGAGGAGATATTAGGGAGTGGACTTCCTTTGAGGGTGAAATCTGTTTGCGTCATGTGGGGCAGAATATGCATAATGTGACACTTCGGATGGTTGAGCGCTAAACCGTTTTTCACTGCCCATTCACTAATAGATGTAAGGTCCTTTTGAAACTAAGTCAAATCCTCTTTGCTTCTAATGGACCTACATATCTTCGCATCGTCTGCGTAGATCATTGCCGATGAGCGAACTGAGCCTAAAAAATTGTCAATAAATGTCAAGGAGAGAAGTGGGCCTCAGATGGTCCCCTGTGAAACTCCCGATGTTGGTACTTGCCAGAAGGCGTGCACTCTAATAACCTTGGTACGACACTATTCCCAAGGTAGTTTCTGAACAGAGATAAGAGTGTCAGTGAAAGTAGAATCCGATTTGAAGGCTTTGTTTTGGGAAAACCCCTCCATCTACATATTTGTAATATGTTCTTACTGACTCTTTTTGTGCTACATTTGGTACTCTGTTTGATCCCACTTTGTGATGTTAATATCTGTATTTTGTTACAGTGTAGTGGAACGCTTCTACGAAGAAATTACTATTTGTGAAAAATAAACATTATTGTACTCGTTTTGTTTAACTGTACCAAAAACACTTCTTCTACTTCTTGCGCGCAACGTTCTCTTCGCGTTGCTGCCATTTTTCTAAATGCCCTGCTCCCCATGTAATGCCAACGTTCTCCTACAATAAAATACTCAGCTATGGATTTGTTTTGATCTTGATGACGGCGGGATATTATGGGACACTTAGTGGTGAGCATAGTCAGTCTGGTGTCTTGACTCGCTTGCCACAATAGTTTCTATTTTTTGTACCTTTATAAGAGTTTTCTACTGAACTGTATTATGCTGTTTAAATTGATACTTAATTATCGAATTTGACACCCTGGGCGGTGAACTTTGAATATGAATTGGAAGAGTGCAATTTTGGACTTATACGCGAGCATTCTTCCAGAATTGTAAACACATTTTGTTAAATTGTGTTAAAGAACAGTGTAATATTGTTTAGGTCATTACTTATATTAAGTAATTAATAACAAAACCCAGATAAATTGCTGTTTTGTTGTTTTGGAACTGGGAAAGTCGCGTATCTAACTTCTCCCAATGTTCTTTCGAATTCAGAACCACTGAAAACGCCCCAACAGTTATGCCTATTTCCGCGACCGTTGCGATTATGCCTGCGTGTTGTACTGTGTAGAAGGCTTTTAAAAAGTCCAGGAATATTACGTCGAATGTTATTTTTCGGTCGATGCAGGATGTCCAACTGTCCCATGCTATGGGAATATTAGATGCGCAAGACCCGCCTTTTTGAAGCCCGTGTTAAGCTTCATATAGTATTTTATTCTTATCCATGTACTCCCTCATTTGTTCGTTCACTAGCACTTCCACTACCTTCGATAGTATTGGTAGCAACACAACTGGTCTGTAACAGGCTGGGTCTTTCTAATCTCCTCCACTGAAGATTGAAAAGAGAATAGCTTGTTTCCATTCAGCTGGGAGTTGGTGTGACTCAACTGAATGCCTGGCCAGGTCACATATCAGTGAGCAGAGGACTTCTGCAAATTGTTTCAAGACTAAGGGGCGAAAATTGGCACAAACTGGTGACTTTCCTGAGCGCAGGGATTTTAGTTTCCTTAGTACTAAGTCAAGAATGGTACGGATATTCCCTGAGTCGTCAGCTAGCAAAGGGTTGGAGTAGTACTTTGAAAATCTGGATGCCTAATTTAACTGCTCAGTTAAATTTGGATTGAAGATCTCAGACATTTCCAGGTTGGTGAAGTCTTTCCCATTTGGACCTGTTAGAGAACACAAACTCTGATTTGTAGGTTTTCTTTCAGTCATGGACCTAAACAGATGCTTCGAGTTTGCCCGTATTTTGACAGCGTCTCCTATCACTTCGAACTTTGGTATTGCATTTGTTTCCCAGTGCCAAGTAAGAACTATGATCGGAATCCTTCAAGGAGACCTTCCACTTGTGCCAGGCTCTTCTCTTCCTTGTAGCAAGCGTTCAGTACCGCGCCTAACCCATGTTCTTCTATTTTCGGGTGTGTGGTGAGAATGAGATACGTTGCTGAAAACAGCATTCTGAATGGTGTCTCTCACTGTTTGCCAGTGACCATCTACTGTCAGCCTCCACCAGTCCCGTGGCCATGGCGCTCGTAAAAAGATCTCTCCCATGAGCTTGCAATTTGCCCCAGTCCAGCGAAGACAGGGCTTGTTTTCGTCCTATGTTTGGTTCATTTATGATATTGTCACTACTTCCTATGGACGGGAACATTCTCGACTAGGAGGTGGTCATTTGTTAACACATGATCCAGATTTGAGGACTTTCCTTCCTTAGTTCACCTAGTGGCACTACATGAACGCTCAGTAAGACCAGAGTCTCTGGTGGCTGCGTCAAGTCGTTTCTGGAACCAACCAGTGGGAACTGTACCCAGATTGCTGAGATTTAGTGCTGGTGTGTTGAAATCTTCCTGGGCCTTAGTACCTGAGGGAGGACAATAAATCCCCTCTTGGAAAATACTAGTAATGCAGCTATTATGTTTCCCCCAGAGTAACACGTGAATGAAATAACAAGATACCATTCGGACTCTGAACAATTCCCACCAAATTTAATGTTCACTAATTATGAGGATAACGTGGCAGACCTCGATCATATGAAACTTCTAGATGAGATTGGCCATGAAGCTGTGGTCTTTGATTTTCATGTGCTTTTCAAAAATCATGAGTCATCTGAAGACAGAATGAACGTTTTAAAATTAAAAGCAGAACAAATTACACACTCAGCATCATCAGCAGATCAAACATCAGGAGCAGGGCTTCTTGTTGGACCAACCTGGGACTGAGGACACTGAGCAATGATGAAACAAAATCTCTATGTCGGGAAGCCCGGAATATTTCTGCCTAGAACCTGCACGAGCCTTGAATACTGAATGACGAATAACTCGATATAAAGTCCATGGAATACCCAAATCTCCTTAACTTGTAGATGAATCAACGGAATCGAAGAAGTGGCAGTATCCTAGGGATATGGGGGAACGGTAGTACTACAATACTGAAAGTAGTTGATTGTGGTATGGCTTAGGTATTCTCCGACTTCTTTAGCTATCTATAGATGTAGCCTTCAGTGAGTTTAAAAAGCATTTAACAGGGTCCCTCAAAACTGGCTACCATTTAGTTTAAATTACAACAGACTTGGTTGTAACATATTGCAGACGATAAAGGATTCCGTAGTTGGGTTTTGACATAGAGTAGGGGTTCAATCCAAGCATTCAGATTGGAAAAAATGAACTAATGTTTCTCCGCCTCTATTTGCGCGAACTTCTTGCCTTACAATCTACAACAGTTTTGTCAACTGCTGACGATATTAACATGTGGCGAAAGATGGAAACGAAGATGACAGACTACAGCTTCAAAATAACCTGCAGAAATTATATGAATGGTCAAGAATTTGTCAGTTTCTAATAAGTGCTTCCAAGTCCATTATGATACCTACTGATCATACTACACAGTGAACAACAACATATTATCCACAAACACAATGACATCAAAGTAATCACTAGCCAAGACTTGAACACTACTGTGCGCTGCCGTGCGATAGCCACCAAAGATTTCATAACCCTAATATAAAGAGCCTTTAGTAATGTGGATGCTACAGTATTTCGGTTTCGTAAACGGTGCTTATTCGTGCCGAACTTCAGTATTGCGTGTTAATAGCCAGCCCCTGCCTAAAATCGATAGTGGAATGTTAGAAGAGGTTCAGAACCTATGTCCTGACAGATTTACAGATCTGCAATGCTGCCATGTGAAGAGAGAATGGGTAAATTAAACCTATTTCCTTTATGATGCTGAAGGACGATGTGACTTAATTACAGATTTTAAATTACTGTGTTACAGTTTTACAGACGACATGCCCTTATTTTTTTTGTGTCCCAAAACAGAGAACGAACGACAACACTCCGGAAATATTCATAAGCCAAGCGAAGTACCACTTCATGCATATTCTGCCTCACACGACGCAAACGATCTACACCCTCAGTGGAAGTCCACTCTCTAATGAATCCTCAGAGCGCGATCTCAGTTTAATAAGCACAGAAAGCCTCCAAATGAGTCGGAACTATGTAGAGGACGCAGTCAAGGCAAATGCGACCCTTCACTTTATGCGAAGACAACTTGGTGCTATCACCCGAGAATTATTCGTAACATTATTTAAGACGTACGCGCGCCCACACCTCTAGGTTCACAATGTCATTGCACCCCCTCTGCTTAAAAGAGACATAATTCTGTTATATCGAGTGCAGAGATGAGCAACCAAATGGATGACAGGGCTGAAAAATAAGTCTTACGACGATAGGCTCCAGCACTTGGGATTATTTCCACTGAGCTACAGGAGAATCAGATCATGGTGTACAACATATTAAGCGCGCCAAACCATCCAAACGTGATCATCTTACCGATGCATCACCACCATTCCCCTCGAAGCAATCCTCGAAAGATTGCACATCAAAGAGCGAATACTCAGATTCGTGCACACTTTTTCTCATTGCGAGTCGTCGCAACTTGGAATGCTCTCCCAGCCTAGGTGACCACAGCCCTCTCAGTAGACAGCTTTAAGAAGAAACTCGATAATCACCTACTCACATACGGATTATCATCTCCCTCTTGGACAAGCTGTTCATGATGCATATCTTGAGAACTGCTAGTTGTTATCATTGCCATCTCCTCAGAACATTTAATGCATATCGCCTATTAACTCTGCTTCCTCTTCCTTGTTTACACACACACACACCCCTAAACGGGGTCAGACCGCCATGTAACGATGCATTTAAAAGTTTGAACAACTGAGAGATTAAATTTCAAGGACTGACACAGACCATCGAGCATCCTGTCACTTCCAAATTGAAACTGATATTGTTTTAGTACTTTGGACTGAAATCGAAATTATCAAGGCCGTTATCTTCTACCAGGTGAGTGCTTCAGGGTTTCTGTTGTGGGTGGCGTGTGTGTCACATGGTCACCTGCGAATGTTCCTGGTCTCATCTTTCCGGGAATTACCTGAATTTGGAGAGAGTTCGTTTCAAAAACTGAATATTTCTCACATCTTTGTTCGTACAAGAATAATTTGTGTTAGTGTATAAATCTGTTTCCGAAACCTAGACTTTATCATGTCATTTTAGTAGTTAATTAAGATGACTGCGCAATGAAATCAATTGGTTTACACTAGCTCGTGAAAAAGATACTGGATATTGGGTGCCTGCTAGTTATAAAAGAAGGACGTCGTTTGTGAGTCATATTCTCACTGGGAGAAGATTAGTTTACTTCTCCATAGTCCATATCTACACTTAACATATGAATCGTGGACAAAAACCCCTATTTCAGATGTTTCAGTACCATAGGATAAAACCTGCGCTCATCATCGTGTCGATTGATTAGAGGCTAGTATTTCGTTCACTGCGTTAGTTGAACTGATTCTCTTGTTTCAGGCTCTCTGTATTTAAAAAATGTAGAATTAATTTCTCTGAGATACAGCAAGGTCAAGAATCCCAGGTTAATATGCATCCAAGCTTAATATTCTTGTCATCAATTTTTAACTTGATAGTTGAACCGTAATTGAATTAACATATGATCAGATATAACTACGATTATAGACTTGAATATTTATCCACTCCTCGAACTGATCAAAACATAAGTCTTCATCTCTGATGTAGATATCTAGTTATGAGCAACATAAAATATATGCATCAGTATGAGTTGCTCTATATGAGGATCCATGCGTAACTTATTTGATTTTCTACAGAAATATCGATATTTAGGCCTTCGTGACTAAGTGCCCGTTTGAGGTTACATTTCTTAGTCATAATGTCACTTTTTAGAAGTGACAGGGCTCTGACTTAAAGCTCTACTCTCATTAACTATGTTTTTATCCTGTATTCCTCACATAATTTAACTAAATATCCATATTCTTCTCTTAGATATATATTCACGGATTTTAAATGCCTGACACTATCAAACGTGGCTTATTTATAGTATTTGAAGGTATTGAGAAATGTGGCAAAAAAACACAGTCCGAATTATTACAAGAAGCTTTAACTCAAATTACTGGCAAAGAAGCTTTGTTAATTCATTTTCCTGATAAAAGTACACCGATAGGGAAATTGATTGCTGACTATTCTGATGGAAAACTTCAATTGGAACCACATGCAGTTCATCTGCTTTATATAGCTAACAGGTAGGAGGTGATATCTTATTTTTTTTTATGATTAAAGCATCCTATATGTGTTATCAAATTGTATAAATCAAATTATCAATTTTATAAATTCATTTAATATCAATAAAACATATCAGTTGATAAACTTTTAAGCTTTAGAGTATTGAAAAAGTTGATTATATGTTTAATGGCAACATGACATGCTTTGAGTATGCCTTAACCACCGCCTGCCTCGTCGAGCTATAGTTTGCGCTGTAGGAATAGGTTGGAAGAAAGCTAGGGGCGGCCAAACCTAAACATGGCAAACATTCATGAAGTCATTGACGAATGGACTGAGTCATATCGGTAGGTGTCGACTACCTGGTTGGGGTCCGCGAGATGTTAGTAATCGATGGTTAGAGACCCTGAATGACATGGCTCAAAACCGTTTGCAATGGCACAGGTGCATTTATTCTTTGTGTTCTCTCAAATCCTAATCTTCTGGAATTGTCAGCACCTTTTTTAATTCTTCATCACTTTATCTTTTTAAGTCTATTTCATTAGATTCTACTTCTTGAATAATATCTTCTAATCCTAACCTCTCCGACTACTGCTAATATCTTTACTACCTCTACTACTATGGGATCTGAATTGACAATATTACATCTCTGTGCTGATGTGGTATGGCGACATGAACTGATGTACTTACGTACGAAGTTCTCCGTTGCATCTGACTGACTTACTGACTCATCTGAGCTATATTGGCTCGAACATATGTTCCTGTAGGTCCTACCATGCCAGGTTGACTGGAGAATGGTAAGACTAGAAGCAGCTACTCAAAGTCTGAGGGAGAAGTTGTACTGCTGACTGTAGAGGCGTACAATAGTTTTAAGGTGTTTCCTTCGGACAACCAGCATCTGCAGCGATTCTGCCTTCTCACAAGGAAAGAATGAGTTAGAAAAGGCCAACCCTTAAATGTTTCACCTCACCTTACCTGTCGGAATTCCGTCACCGGTGGTAAGGCTATTTGAAGTGCGGTGCTAACACTCACTTTAGAAAGACCTTACATGACCGGCCACAAGCAAGTGTCCGTTGGGCTCTGTAATCATGTGCCCAGGTTGTTCAGACCAAGGGTAATCCGATTTCGTTTTCAGGTTCCATATTATGAAACACCCGTGGTTTGGGCAGGCGGGAAGTGACATCCGCCCTCATAGCCGTAACAGCGCACGAGACTGACAGTGTTAAAAAGCTAACATGTTACCGTATTCAAGAACTCCTCATCATGCTTCGATTATTACACATCAAAGACAACAAATTGTAATATAGTAGCTAGGAATTAATACTAAGTAGAATATTTTCGCTAACGGTTGACATATCAAAACGACTGCTGACTATTCATCTCCAAGTAAAGTGGTTTAAATTGGTTCTAAACAATCTTCACTTGCCTCATTTTCATCACCTAGTTCATATCATTGATTCATATATGTGAAAATATAAGTAAATATAAAAAGACCCATTCATGATTACTGAATATTAACTACTATCATACTTATTGTTTTATTGTTCATTACTGTGTATTGTTGTACGATGTAATCAAAAGTTATGAAGTTAGTCTTTATTTGTTCAATTTTGATTTGATTTTTTTTTATTCGAGTTTTTAACTCGACATATTTAGACAATTATAATAACTTTATGATATCTAATCGCATCCGATCAGCGCCAGCTATTCACTGTTACTTTTTATAATGAATAATTTTATTTTACTTTTGAAATATAATTTCAAGAATTTATGCATTAGAGTTCATATATCGCGTAAGAACATGTGTTATGTATGTATGCCCGACCACCGACTTCCTCGACGAGCTATGTTTTGTGGGAGTAGGAGTAGATTGGAAGGAAGTTAGGGGTGGCCAGACCAAAACATGGCAGAAATCCATGAAGTCACTGACAAGACTGAGTCATGTTGGTTAGAGTAGGACTACGTGGTTGGGATCTGGGAGACAATAGTAATCGATGGTTATAGACCTTGAACAACGTCTCGAAATCGTGTTCAGTGGCGCAGATACGTCCATTCTTTATGTTATCTCAAATCCTAATCCTGTGAATTCCTCATCAACTTTCTCTATTCATGTTCATTTCGTTAGATTATCAATCAGTCAGTCACTTACAACGTAGAACGTCGTACGTAGGTACATGACTTCAGGTTTCCATACCACATGAGCAGAGACGCGACTACCTTTTCAAATTCGATAGTGGTGGAGATGGTAGAAGAATTAGCGGTAATGCAGAGTTTTAGGGATCAAAGATATCATTCAAGTAGTATAGTTCAGTGACATAACTTTAGAAATAGAAAGATAGAGATTATGAGGAATTCAAAATGTTAGGACTTGAGAGAACACAAAGAGTGGATGCACCTACGCCATCGCAAACGATTTTGATCCATGTCGTTCAAGGTCTCTAACCATCGACTACTATTGTCTCGCAGACTCCAACCACGTAGTTTACCCTTACAAACGTGACTCAGTCGACTTGTCAGTGACTTCATGGATTTCTGCCATGTTTTGGTTTGGCAGAAGTCACTAGATTTTACTTCTTGAATAATATCTTCGAACCCTACTCTTTCCAACTTACTGCTGATACTTCTACTACCTCTACCACTATGGGATTTGAAGTGGCAATTGCGTCTTTGTGTTAATGTGTTATAGTGACCTGAACTAACGTACGTACATATGAAGTCCTACGTTGTTTCTGACTGACTTTCGCATAAGTCCATCATCATATTGTATATATACCCAATTAGGTGGGCGATTTCTTGACACTTCCAAGCAAGTTCTTCACATTTTCTAAAATCTTTCAAATCTAAAGTGCAGAGAAGCTGTCAATTCGTGCGTTCTAATCAAGTGCTAAGATGTAGTGCCATACAATTGATCGATATCTTGTTATTCATAGCTAGTTATTTGATTCTATTTTACAATTTTCTTTTAATAAATATATTTTAAGCTTTAATGTATGATCAAATATGCTGCGTGTGAAATGAAACAGACTGTACAAAGATTATATTTACCAAGTGAGACATTTAGAATATATTCTATATCTGTAAGGCATCAATGTTACTTAGAGAGTAAGCTGCTGGGAAATAATTGATGAAACTGCTGACTGACTATTAAGTTAGCTTCTTCAATCGAGAACTCCGTCATAGTGTTCATTTGTCATTCACTTTGAGTAATTGCACATAGAATAATCGACTTACTTTAAGGCAGTCTTTGCTGAATACAGACAGGAGGGTCTAAACGGTTAGTGTTTGTTGAGCGAGTTGGTATTCTAAGGGGTGGAGTCGTTAACCCTATACCCTGCCCTCCTCCTCTACCCGAGCCTTGAACTGGTAGTAACTACAGAGTAGCTCCATGCGTAGTTACCGACTGCCTCGACGAGCTATGTTTTGTGGTGTAGGAGTAGGTTGGAAGAAAGTTAAGGAAGTCCAGACCGAAACATGTCAGAAATGCATGAAGTCATTGACAAGTGAACTGAGTCATGTTGCTAGATGTAGACTACCTGGTTGGGGTCCATGAGATGATAATAATCGATGGTTAGAGACCTTGAACGACATGGCTCAAAATCGTTTGCAATGGCACAAGTGCATCCATCCATTGCGCTCTCTCAAATGCTAATCTTCTGGAATCGTCAGCACCTCTACCTTTGTCTTTCTAACCTTATCTTACTGAATTATACTTGTTGAATAATATCTTCAAACCATCGTCTTCTTCATTACCATTAATACCTCTACACTATCTCTATCGCTATGGGATTTGATTTGACATATGCATCTCTGTGCTAATGTGGTATGACAACATGAACTTACGTACATACGTACGTAGTTCCACGTTGCAACTGACTGACCATGCGGAGTTATAAACAACAGGGTGCTCATTGCCAATCGTTTTCAATCAATAAGGTTACGTGCTGAAGATAGGATAACGCATGCTTCAGGTTTTTATTTATTCAAAAAATCTAGGAGTTTACCTTAACTGGTTTGTATATATAAGCAGCAAGCTTAAAAAGTAAGTGTTCATGTTGGTTAGAACAACATCGGATATAAGTGTTATGGTGTCTTAATTTTACAATTATGGGAATCTGTAAATAGTTCAATGTCAATGTTTTTAGTTAAGTCTAATTGTTAATAAATCTAAGCATCAAATCATCTAAACTATCTACTTCATTAGAAAAATAATAATGTTTTACTTTCAACTGTTGATGTAGATGGGAACGTCAAAATGAAATTGTAAAAGCATTAAAATCAGGCATTAGTGTTGTTGTAGATCGTTATAGTTATTCAGGCATTGTAAATACAGCGGCAAAATTTCATCCACTCACTGAAACCGATTGGGAATGGTGTCGTTCTATGGAGTATGGTTTAATGCAACCAGATTTCATATTTTGTCTTGCACCAGAGAATTTTGCTGAAATATCAGTACGTGAAGCATTTAATGATGAGAAGAAATTTGAAACAATGGATTTTCAAAAACAAACTCTTATTTATTATGGTCGTTTATCACGTGAAATGGAAGCGGAATTAAATGAAGAAAATGAGAATCAGAATAATACAACAACTACGAAAGAATGTGGTGAACCACGACTTTGGCATTGGATACCAGCAACCGGTCAAACAGTAGATGAAGTTCATTCATGTATCATGTCGATTATTGATTCGAAATTATGAATTGATTTGTGTTAATACAAAACAGTTGATGATAATAATAATAATCTATCTATTCATTGTGTGCATGTTTTGACTTACGATTTATTTTATCACTAATGATGATTACTAAAGATCATAGTAGCCAATCATATTGAAATGGTAGTATCAACTACCGTAGCTGGCTACCTTGACACATGGTTGTCGGGCTTGCCTATTGTTGTGATGACTCAACTGAGCTATATTAGCTGGAACATATGTTCTTGTAAGTTCTCCCATGTCAGGCGGGTCGATTGGAGAACGGTAAGACTAGAAGCAGCAACGTAAGGTCTGAGGAAGAAGTCGTACCTCTGACTGTAGAGGGGTACACTAGTTGTAAGGTGTTTCCTACGGACAACCAGTATCTGCAGCGATGCTGTCTTCTCACAAGGAAGGAAGGGTTAGAAAATGTTGACTATAAACATTTCTTACCGGATGAGTTTCCGTTTTCGGTGGTAAGGCCATTTGAATAGCGTAGCTAACATTACAATCTTCCCATAAAAAGGCCATATGTGACCGACCTCAAGCAATTGTTCGTTGGGCTCTGTGATCAAGCCCCAAAGTCGCTGAGATCAACGTTAAACCGATTTCCGTTTTAGGTTTTTCCGGAAACGCCCATGGTGTAAGCAGCCTGGGAAGTGACTTTTGCCCCCATACTTGTGACAATTCATGACCGACTGGACGGTTCATGCTGGGATTATGCTAAGTAAAGATAGACATTTGGTTAATAAGATGGTGAATTCCCACCCACTAGATTAGGTAAGATATATTACGTTTACTGAACCACCGCCTACCTCGATATGCAATCTTAGCTGGACTGTGCGTTAGTCAGAAGGAAAGTAAAGCGTGTCAAAACAAATATTGGTATCAGTTCACAAAAGCCCTGATTGTTGTACTAAAGTATGTTGGTATCTGCAGACTAAACTGTTATATAAAGTCTGCGTAATAATCTCGGTCAGAACTTAAAACGTGCAACGTAACTCAAAATTGGTAAAAGTGCCTCAGATGTATTCATTATTAATCTTTTAGATTTACACTTTCTGCATTCTTTCATGCATAAATTCTTAATCAATTCCATCGAACCATATTCTTGGTTTTGAATTATTCTCGTTACTGTTACAATATTTTGACTTATGGTACTTACTATTGATTTTGTCGTTTTCACCTCATCTCCCCTGACATGGTGGTGCTCAACTTAGACTGACTAATCCACTTTGTTGTCTTTAGGTCAAAAATATTAATTATGATCAACTGGTTAATACGTTACAGACAGACAGATACAACGCAGAACTTCGTACACAAGTACATCAGTTCAGATTGTCATACCACGTCAGCACAGAGACGTAACTGTCAGTTCAAATACAAGATAGCGATAGTAGAATTATTAGCAGCAATGAAAAAGACTAGGGAGCAAAGATATGATTTGAAAAGTATAATTCAGTGAGATAAGGTTAGAAAGACAAAGGTAGAGATCATGAGGAATTCGGAAGGTTAGAATTAGAGAGAACACTAAGAGTGGATGCACCTGCGCCATTGCAAACGATTCTGAGCCATGTCGTTCAAGGTCTCTAACCATTGGTGATTTTCGTCTCGCCGACCCCAATCCGATAGCCTACATCTACCAACATGACTCAGTCCACTAGTCACTGACTTCATGGATTTCTCCCATGTTTTGGTTTGGCCGCCACCCTTAGCTTTCTTCCAACCTACTCCTACACTGCAAAACATAGCTCGTTCTACTGCATCTACCATTATGGGATTTGATTGGACAATTGCTTCTGCGTTCTAATACAATATGGCAACTTGAACTGATACATGGAACGTATGAAGTTCTACGTTGTACCTAACTGACCAAGTATCGAAAATAAAGAATTGCATTTATCATAGAGCCTTAAATATACCGTATAGACCAATCAAACAATGTGGCGAAACTAACTGTTTGAAGTGTAGTTTTATGATGTAGTGAAACTCGGTGTACTTTTATCTTGAGGGTTAATCATAAAAAATCCATATTAGTGTCATTAATTGTTAATGTACACCCTGTAACAGATGTTTGTTGGTTGGATTTGTCATGTCACACCATTACAGAGAGATAAATATAACAAAATAAACTGCCAAAATTATCGTAACAGTATCGGCAGTGATCATGAAAAAGACTTAACAGTGGGTATAGTTTTAAAAGCTGTTGGAATACTGTGCATGCAGGAACACTGAAATTTTTTTGGCCAAAAAGAAGATAGTTGTTAGTGGGACATAGATGGAATTAAAGCATGGCTGCGCGCTGATTGGCTAATTCCCTATCCAATCAGCGCCTGATCGATTCTTGGAGAACAGGGTAGTGTTGTTAGCTGCACTCTGATTAGCTAAATCTAGTCCAGTCGATCACGTGAATTACTGTCCAGAAGCTTCTCATGTAAATGCTATAAAGAAACTAACGTTGTATCTATTTTGCCTTCGGCTTCGTACTTTCATTTAAACTTGCTATTTGGAATATAATCTTTTTCGTGTTCCACCGTGTTTTTGATTCTTTGGAACTTGTCCAGTGTATTGTGTGATCAGAGAATACTAAGCAATAGGATTTAGCTGGGAATAATATAAGCGAAGCGTTACAACAATAGTGTTTTCATCGACACCAAATGTAAGGGATTCTTAGTCTTGTCACTTATAGTCTCTAATCACTGATTTTGTTTCTTACATGAACCCTAACCAATTAGTCCGCATGTATCAACGTAGCTTCAGAGTGACAGTCGTCTGCCTTGCTTTTATCTCCCCTAACTTGAAAGTTAATCAATAAGCGGTGATTCGCTTTTAATTACGTGTGTCTATTGATAAGTTCAAAAAGTTAAACGTGCCACAGATCAATTCTTCGGACTAAATTTATAACCAAGCTGTGTGGTAAGTGGTCAATTAGATACAGAAACCCACTGTGCAATTAACTATAAACAATTATATGGTCATTGTACATTAAAACTATCTTGAATAGGATTAAACTTTCAGTATCTTTTTCCTGTATTACTATGTATGGCCTACCAGATTTTGAGGATTTTGGTCTCGTGTGCTGTTACGGGTATGAGGGCGGTTGTCACTTCTCGGCTGCCCACACCGTGGAAGGTTGTTTCTTGAGGAACCTGAAAAGGAAGATAGACTAGTGTTGGTCTTGGAGACCTGGTTGCGTGACCACAGAGTCCAAGGGACAACTGCTTGAGGCCGGTCACGCACGGCCTTTTTATGAGAAGTTTTTAGAGTGTTAGCTCCGCTCTTTTTAAAAGCCCTTAGTGGGCACCCTTACCGACGGAGACGGAAATCCGTGAGGTAGGGTGTGTGACATTTTTAGGATCGATCTTTTCTAACCCTTCCTTCCTTGTGAAAAGGCAGCATCGCTGCAGATGCTGGTTATCCGAGGGAAACTCCTTACTGCTGTCACACCCCTCTGCAGTCAGCAATACGACTTCGTCCTCAGACCTTGGGTAGCTGCTTTTAGTCTCATCGTTCTCCAATCGACCAGCCTGGCATGGTAGGACCCGCAGGAACATATTTTCCAGCCAATTTAGCTCGGTCGGGTCATCACGACAGGCAAGCCCGACCACCACGTCAAGGTAGCAGCTTCGGTCGGGAGATTTTGAGGATAGTGACCCCTCATTCGGAGTCACTAGGTGACGCTTCTGGCAAAGGCTTTGTCTCTCAAGGTGAACCACCGCGTAGATGTGTTTTGTGGGAAACCGTCTTCTCGGGGATATTGTTGCACGGGCGTCGCACCGGGAGTAGGTGTACCTTAAGCGCATATCAGAAATACACGAGTTTTAACTTCATATACCTCGTGACATACATACAGGCTTTGATTAACGCGAGGGTTAGTTACATATTAGACGTACATTGGAAACACGAGATTTCACCTATGCATTCCTTGTTATACACAAAGGTATAACCGTCCCTTAGAGAATTACTGGTCGCTGTCCCTATCATGGACTATTTCTCATGTGTTACATGCCTAATCACTTCATGACATAAATGTAGGTATGGGCATTGTATCAACAGCTCAATCAATAATTTCATTGGTTAACTTTATCTAAATACTTACTAAAATTACTAGGACTTTTATGAATCATCTTATATACTGCTAATATCAAGTAATATGTAGATTTGTGTCCTACTCTTACTTAGTCATACTAAGTAATGTATTGAAGCACATGGACTATTCATCATTTAACAGGTGTGTTATTGGTAAATCATACAATCGATAATTACGCATTAACAAAGCTCATAATCAATCATAGTAGTGCAGATCTTCGTCTAAATTGGTCTAAATCTTAAACTTTCATAGTTCCTGTTAAGTGATCTTAGAATATCAATTATGTGACTGATATAAAGGCCAGAAGTTTCAAATTCATTTATTACCTGAATGACCTACATGACTGTATCCTACTGACCATTTTCACTACAGTACCAATCAATATCTTTTGTCTAAGTTTGTCATTTTATCGAGTAAACTGTTCACTAACCAGTTATGTTGTCTGTTTCATATGATTTTATTCGACGAGATTTCGTCATCTATTGAGTTTCGTTAGTAATGTTCATTTATCTAAACAAATTATAATCGTATATCATAAAGATTGAATTTCCTCATCTGCTTAATTATATAAAAATTTTACTAGTTATGATAATTAACAGTGGAAAGGTGGTCGTTATAATGAAAAACTATCAGTTACTTGACAAGAAGCTGATGTATCTTAGCTATATGGTTCAAAATGTTTTTTTTCTAATAAATAAACATACTATTATTCACAATGTACACTGCATTCCCGATGAAATGAATCTTACTACTTAAGTTTTTTGTAGAAATGCGTCAAAGCTACTTCTATACTTTTTAAAGTTTGTTTGTCTTTTCGTTTTGACAGTTTACATTGATTTGGTTCTAAAAGTATATATGGATTAGATATTTTAACCTACTTAGACCTGATATCCCTCTTGGGATGTAGGCCATAGAC